TGAAACACCAGCATCCCATATGGGCACCAGTTCTAGTCTCGGCTGCTCCACTTCCCTTCCAGCTTTCTGGTATGGCCTGGGAAAGCAGTAGAAGATGGCCCATGTGCTTGGGCCTCTGCACCCACGTGGGAGATCCGGAAGGGGCTCCTGGCTCCCGGCTCCTGGCTTCGGATCGGCACAGCTCCAACCTTTGTGGCCAATTGGGGAGTGAACCATCGGATGGAGGACCTGTCTTTCTCTCTCTCTCTGCCTCTCCTCTCTCTGTAACTCTGACTTTCGAATAAATAAATCTTTAAAATTTTTTTTGAAAATGTAATAGATTTATAACTATTTACAACTTTAATGTCTGCTTTCCTAATCATATTCTGATCTTGATTATAAGGATAGAGTTTGTTTTCTATTTTCCTAGTCCCAAGCTCAATGCATGGTACTATGTAACAGTCAGTATATTTAGGTTTTGAGTATCTACAGACAAAACTTCATACCCTCATTTAGTATTTTTATATGAAAACAGCTTATTTTTTCTGAATTAAAATTTGTTTTTTTAGGGTGTGTGTGTGTGTGTGTGTTTAACCCCCATTCTTTTTTTGCTTTTGGGGCTGAGCATCTGTGCCTCTATGTATGGGTATATGGTCTCTCCTTGGGCATGCATTTCCCACTGCCCTGCCTCCCCCTCAGTCCCTTAGAGAGGTCAGACATAAAGGATCCTCCTTTATTGTAATTTCCCCTATTGTAATTAGAAGTAATGTCTCTTCACATCTCCAAAGCATTATGAGTTGTTTAAAGTAAGAATATAATGGGGAAGCTATGCAGCTCTTACTCTTTTGGGTCGGGAGATGCTCCGATTGCTCCACCAACGCCCTCTAGTCCATTCTTAACCCCTTTCCAATTTACTGGTGTTACACTTTAAGTATTGCATTAATCATGGCCCTATTTGTGAGCTTTGCTCAATTCTTATGGCATATATAACATGCCACATAGTCTTTATTTGAATTTTCTGCTATATTTAATGATTCAAAGTGTTATTCTTGTCCTAATTTACCTACTTTAATACAGTTTTTTTTGAAACTCATATACCTCACAGTGTAAAGAAAATCATATTATGTGTATTATGCCTTCGTTATATTCTCATTACTAACAAATTGAATTTCAGAGTTCTTTTAAAGTTAATTAATTAATTTATTTTTGACAGGCAGAGTTAGACAGTAAGAGAGAGAAAGGTCTTTCTTTTCCGTTGGTTCACCCCACAAGTGGCCACTATGGCTGCGTCCTACACCAATCCAAAGCCAGGAACAGCCAGATGCTTCCTCCAGGTCTCCCATGCAGATGCAGGGCCCAAGGACCTAGGCCATCCTCCACTGCACTCCCGGGCCACAGCAGAGAGCTGGACTGGAAGAGGAGCAACCAGGACTAGAACCTGGGATGCCGGCGCCGCAGGTGGAGGATTAGCCAAGTGAGCTGTGGCGCCAGCCCACAGTTTTAATAGTAGCTATAAGTTAAGAACCAGTTAGTTGGTATGAGCTAACCCACTTTTCTATTTGTTTACTAAAACTAGTTTCTAATAACTTCATCTAAATGTTCTAATTATGTTGCATGAAGTATTTTTAATAGTGTTAGATGTGGATTTCTTTGAGAATTTTAGTTCAGTTTGATGTTGTAATGGAAGTAAGAGTTTCTCTGCTTTACCCATTTTACAGTAGTTGACTGAAATGCAAAGCATTCTGGATTTTTCCATTTACAGGGCAGGTGCTGTGGCACAACAGGTAAAGCCACTGTCTGCAGAGCTGGCATAGCATATGGATACTGCTTCAAGTGCTGACTGTTCCAATTCTGATCCAGCTCTCTGCTAATGTGCCTGACAAAGCAATAGAAGATGGCCCAAGTGTTTGGGCCTTGGCACCCTTCTAGGAGACCCAGAAAAAGCCCCTGGGTACTGGCTTCAGCCTGACCAAGTCTTGGCCATTGTGGCCATTTGGGGAGTGAACTAGCAGATGGAAGGCCGGCGCCGCGGCTCACTAGGCTAATCCTCCGCCTTGCAGCGCCGGCACACCACATTCTAGTCCCAGTCGGGGCACCGGATTCTGTCCCGGTTGCCCCTCTTCCAGGCCAGCTCTCTGCTGTGGCCCGGGAGTGCAGTGGAGGATGGCCCAAGTGCTTGGGCCCTGCACCCCATGGGAGACCAGGATAAGTACCTGGCTCCTGCCATCGGATCAGCGCGGTGCACCGGCCGCGGCGGCCATTGGAGGGTGAACCAACGGCAAAGGAAGACCTTTTTCTCTCTGTCTCTCTCTCTCACTGTCCACTCTGCCTGTCAAAAAAAAAAAGGGGGGGGTTGTGAACTAGCAGATGGAAGCTCTCTCTCTCTGCTTCTGCTTCTGCCGCTCCTTCTCTGTAACTTCACCTATCAAATACATAAATAAATCTTAAAAAAAAAATCATTTACACACATGAGTGTATCAGGTAGTGGTTCTAGATTCCATATATATGTAATACTGATATCCTGGGTTGTAAATTTACAGAATTATTAAAACTTAAGCTACTTTGATTGTCTAGATGTATTTATTGATAACAGTTTTGTTTTTTTAAGATTTATTTATTTATTTATTTGAAAGGCAGAGTGACACAGAGAAGGAGAGGCAGTGAGAGAGAGCTTCGATCCGATGGTTCACTCCCCAGTTGGCCCCAACAGCCAGAGCTACACCACTCTGAAACCAGGAACCAGGAGCCAGGAGCTGCTTCCTGGTCTCCCACGAGGTTGCACGGGCCCAAGGACTTGGTCCGTCTTCCACTGCTTTCTCAAGCCATAGCAGAGAGCTGGATCTGAAGTGGAACAGCCGAGACTAGAACTGGCGCCCCTATGGGTTGCTGGTGCTGCAAACGGCAGCTTTACCCACTAGGCCACAGCGCCGGACCTGATAACATAATTTTTAACAATGTTTGAAGATAGAGGCAAAGTATTTAATTAGTTTTCTTTTTATCTTTATATTAGTACCATTTAATGAGTATTTTACATAAAGAAAACTAAAAATTAGAATTTAATTTTAAGGATCACAGTATATTTAGTCTTACATTCACAAAATTACACTCATTATTTCTGCAGATTACATTATTTTATACTAGAATTTTCTATTTACATTAATTTCAAATGTGTTTAAATAGTACACTTTTGTTTTTAAGCTTTTTTTAGTATTTCAACAAATTTCTAAAGTGCATAGTAATTTAGTTTGTTATTTCTAGTAACTAGCAGTCAAAACTTATAGGTAAGGAAGCTGCTTTTGTCATTTCCTCGTTCATTTTAATCAAATAATGAGGTTAATGAAAATCACCCCTTCTGGTACCTTTAATAATTTCTGAGTACACAATCTTTCTTCTAATTTTGAAGGGTTCCTCCCTAACATGTTCTTTTTTTTTTTTGGCAAATTGTTAATGACTTATTTCAGTGACTGTTAGAAAAGCCAGTGTTCCATAAAATCTTTGCATGAAAAGAAATTTATAGGGGCCATCACTGTGGTGTAGCAGGTAAAGCTACTATGCTGTGCCACAGCACCTGCCCTGTAAATGATTTTTTAACTGTATAACTTATGTACACCAATAATATAATCTTCCTGAAAGGACTAATATATTTTACCACTATGTAGTTTATTGAAAATATCAAATTCGACAATATGTAATACTTTGTGAGTTTGTTCCCACACATTAATGTTCAGTTTAATCACCTGAGAATCTTGTATAGATTGTGATTCTTGAGGTCTAGGTGTGGTATGGAATTTTACAAGTCTGAGGTTGCTGATACTACTTGTCTACAGGTGGCACTTACATTGATAAAGTTGTGAAGAACAAAAAATATCTAGCAGAGAACTAACATTGGATATGTTTAGATGTCTGTTTTCACTTTTGATACCTGAACTAATTTATGTTTGATGCCTGAAATAATTCCTTTTGATTTACTTTTGATGCCTAAAATAATTCCATTCAGTTTACTAAATCTTAGTTAAGCATATGTTAAAATGAATTATTTTGTTTCATTTTATAATAACTCTTCTAAACCAATAAATGTTTACGTTGCTTTCTAAGTTAGGAAGTCAGTGAACTCTAGTCTTAGCTCTGGTAATCATTTACTATTCTATGACTAAGTCAATCTGCTAAGTTTTATTCATTTGAAAAATTGATTTAGAGAAGAGGTTTCAGATACTTCCTTCTAGAAATTTGATATTATTCTTCAAATAATGAGTGGAGAGACTAGGTAGAGTTGTCTGGTACCAAACTAATTAGAAGCAAAACCATTTTATGATCATCTGACAAATATTACTAGGATAACTACTAACAGTAGAGACAAATTTGTTTGGTTGGTTTTACTCTTTGTTTTTCTTAGTTTTAAATTTTTAATTGGCAAGAAGATGTTATTTGTGGACATAATATCTTTTTTCCTTAATAGGTATTTAGAATATTCTTGCACTTATATTGCACTCATCTTTTTTTAAAGATTTATTTATTTTAAAGTCAGAGTTACACACACACACACACACACACACACACAAAGAGAGAGACGTCTTCCATCCGATGGTTCACTACCCAATTGGCCGTACCGCCGGAGGTGCGCCAATCCGAAGCCAGGAGCCAGGAGCTTCTTCCAGGTCTCCCACATGGGTGCAGGGGCCCAAGGACTTGGGCCATCTTCTACTGCTTTCCCAGGCCATAGCAGAGAGCTGGATCGGAAGTGGAGCAGCCGGGACTTGAACCGGCACCCATATGGGATGCCTATGCTTCAGGCCAGGACATTAATCCGCTGTGCGACAGCGCTGGCCCCTGCACTCATCTTTACACTAACATACAGCTTTCACCATCTTTACAGTGAACTGATTCACATTTAGTTTGTCTGAGCTTTACTGGTGTGTGGTGTCAAAAGACCTAATATGAATATCAGAGTACTTTTAAAGTTTTTTAGTGTAAGCGTTTGTTTTTGCACAAATAGTTAAAGAAATGTTGTTGTTTGTTTTTAGAATCGAGTCATTTGGAACAGCAGCTTGAAGAAGCTAATTCTGTGAGGCGAGAACTAGATGATGCTTTTAGACAAATCAAAGCTTATGAAAAGCAAATCAAAACATTACAACAAGAAAGGGAAGATCTAAATAAGGTAAAAGCATATGAATAGATATGAATAGATTATTAGTCTTTTCTGTATCAATAATCTTGTGTAATTAAAATAACAGAAGTATTCATAATATACATTGTATTTTATCTGTAAAATGAAGATTTAAAATTATTTTGAGTATGTAATTCTATTATTACATGTAATAAAAGAAATTACATTAATTACATTCTTAAAGCTTTATTTTCAAAATTTTTTGGTAAGTTAATGAAAGGAGTTAATTAAAAGTGAGTATTATTTAAAAAGAAATGAAGAAGTAAGAGAACAGAATCTGTTTAGTGTGTATAGAATAAATTTTAAAATGGAGACATAGTTTCATTATTATTAAAAGGCTTTAAATTAAAATTTCTTTAATATTTTATTCTCTTTTAAAACATCATGAAAAAAGTCATTTCATGAGAAACTTTGTGTCAACACTTAAACAATGTCATAAACATCAACAAAATTTGTTGACTGCTAGGATTCTGTAGCACAGCCTAGTAGGGTAAATAATAATTCAAGTAATGGAGAAAATACTTCACTTGAAATACATGCCATTACACACTGCAGCTTTCATTAACAAGCAAAAAAGTTTAGGAATAATACTACTTAATGCAAATAAGAAATCAGTAGTTTATTGCATAGTATAAACTATAATATATAATGTACTTGTAATAATAATGAGGTCCTTCTGAAGAAGATTTCTAAGTTTTGGTGCCATTAAAAAAAATGAAGGGAATTAAAAATAAAACAATTAATTGTTCGCTGATGAAAATAAAGGACTAACAGAAAAGAAAACTGAAGATTAAATTAAATTAGGTCAGTATATTTTAATGATTTTTAGAAAATTTGTTTGAAAGGCAGAGAGGAGAGAGAAAGGTAGATAGACAGATAATCAATTGATCTTAACTCTTTTGATTGACTCCCCAAATGGTTGCAACAGCCCAGACTGAGCTAGGCTGAAGCCAGGAGCCAGGAACTCCAGTTGGGTTGCTCATGAGGATGACAGTGGCCCAAGGCCTACCTTGAAATAAAAGCACATTACCTCTAGAAGATAAATCTGTTCAGAGTTTTTCATTATCTGAATTAATCAGATTACTTTCTAAGACTTGAATTTAGCTATTCACATGTGCCAGACTGTGCATAAAGGTAAAAAAATTGTTTCCTGCAGTCTTTTTATCCATGTCCTGTACTTAAAGTCTTTTCAGAAACTTCCACAAAATTTCATACAGGCCTCCTTAGCCTTTCTTTAAATTTATTATTCTAATTTTTCATACTTTAAATGGTATCTTTTTTCAAAAGAAACATTTATTTATTTACTTGAGAGGCAGAGTTACCGTGGGAGAGACAGAGTCTTCTATCTGCTGGTTCACTACCCAAATGGCCTCAATGACTGGAGTAAGAGATCCAAAGCCAGGAGGCAGGAGCTTTCCCTGGTCTCCCATGTGGGAGCAGGGACCCAAGTACTTGGGCCATTAGTAGAGAGGTAGATCGAAAGTGGAACAGCCGAGCCATAAATCGGCATCCATATGGGATGCTTTCACTGCAGGAGGAGCATAAATTCTATGCCACACCACCAGCCCCTTTAAATAGTATCTTTAAATTTTGTTTTTTTACTGACTTTTCTGTTACTTTTGTTCCAGCAACATTACTAAACTGTCTTTTCATTGATAGTGGGATATATTTTAGCTTCTTAAAGGTTTTATGCAAATAATGACAGTGTTGATTCTTTTAGATTTTTATGCCTTTTCTTTCTTTCCTTAAATATTAGTTAGGACACTGTTCAGTGTTGAATAGGAATGGTAATAGCAAGTATCCCTATCTTGTTCTTGATTTTAAATAAAATCCTATGATATTTCATCACTAATAATGTTTACTGTAAGTTTTTATTAGCCACTTTTTATCAGATTAAGTAATTTACCTTCTATTCCAATTTTTCAGCTTGTATTGGAGTTATCAGATGTCCTTTTTTGTACTCTTTTGTTATTTTGATTCTTCTCCTATGATAAGTCCGTTTCTGAATTATATGTATAGACTTTTCTGTTATTAAAGCATTATTCTGTTTCTGGGTTATGCCTTGCTAATGTATTATCTTTTTTATTTTTAAAGATTTGTTTATTTATTTATTTGAAAGAATTACAGCAAGAGAGGGAGAGACTGGAAGGGAGAGAGAAGAGAGTTCTTTGATCCACTGGTTCACTTCCTAAATGCCTGCAACAGCCCCGGCTGGACCAGGCTGAAGCCAGGACCCCTTCCTCCCAATCTCCCACATAGGTGCAGGGCCCAAGCAGTTGGGCCATTTTCTTCTTCTTTCCTAGGTGCATTAGCAGGGAGCTGGATCAGAAATGAAGCATTCAGGATTCAAATCAGCTCCCATTTGAGATGGTAGCTCTGTAGATGGTGGCTTAACTTGCCATACCACCATGCCAGCCCCTCATGTACTATCTTTTAAGTAATAGTATAATGGTATATAGGTAACATTTATATAATCTGTATCTGTAGCCGTAACATTAAGTAGTTTGTAAAGATTGGATTATTTAATCTTCATCCCCACCCCAAAAGTTAGGGAAATATTATTTTCCAGTGGTAATACGGTACTGAAAACTAAAGTACACTACTAGCTCAAGTCATAGAGGTAGAAACTGGTGGAGCTAGAATTTCAACAAAAAAAGCTCTAACTTGAGAGTTCATGTATATTCACTTTTGTATATCACTGGAAATGAGTAGGTAAATTTTTTTAACCTCTTTTCATATATGAGATTGGCTTATGCCCTTTTTTCTATTACCTTTCTTGTCTGTTCATTGACATCAAGTTATATCCGTCCCATAGAATGAGTTGAGTCTCATTGCTGCTTTTTCTGTTCCCTTGAAAAGTCTGTGCCGGATGAATGCTCTGCTGCTTGAAACACAAGAGAAACTACCTGTAAAACCTTCTGAGACTTGAGCTTCTTCTCTACCTTTGGGAGGATGGGGACTTTTTTTTTTTTTTTTTTAAGATTTATTTATTTATCTGAGAGGCTGAGTTACAGAGAGCAAGGGAGAGCGGTCTTCCATCCGCTGGTTCATTCCTCATATAGCCACAGTGGTCAGAGTTGCACCACTCTGAAGCCAGGAGCTTCTTCTTGGTCTCCCATTTGGGTGCAGGGACCCAAGAACTTGGGTGGGCCATCTTCTGCTTTTCCAGGCCATAATGGAAAGCAGGATCGGAAATGGAGCAACCAGGACTTGAACCGTGCGCATATGGGATGCTGGCACTGCAGGCAGCGGCTTTTACCTGCTACGCCATAGCGCTGGCCCCAGGGGATATTTTCTTAATATCGATTCAGTTACTTAAGTTTTTATAGGGCTATATAAGTATACTATTTATTTAATTTTTTATTTTTTAGCTTATTTGAGAGGCAAAGTCAGAGAGAGATAGAGAGAGCTCCTATCTACTGGTTCACTCTCCAAATACCTGCAACAGCTCTGGTTGGAACCCAGCGTCAGGAACTAAATCCAGGTGTCCCACGTAAGTGGCAGGGACACAACCACTTACTGCTTTTCAAGGTCTGCATTGGTAGGAAGCTGGAATTGGGCAGTGGCATTGGGAGTTGAAGCCATGCACTCCAGTATGGGATGCAGGTGTCTTAATCAGTATCTTAACCGCTAGGCTAAACATTCTCTTCTCATAGGCATTCTATTTATTAAAACAGTTTTAAAGAGTATGTTTTTCATGGAACTTGTTTATTTCAATTTGTTACCAGAATTCTTCCTTGTATTTTCTTATCATTTCTGATCCCTTCTAGGTTTGTAGTTACAGCCTCTTTATCTTGCCCAGTGTTACTTCCTTGTGCTTTCGTGCTCGTTGCCTTGATTGACCATACTGGATGTCTGTTTTATTGGTTTTCTCAAAGAAAGAACTTTGGCTTTGTGTATTCTCATCATTCTGTCATTTATTTCTGTTTCATTGATTGTACTGTCATCTTTATTGTCGTCTACACGTGAGTAGGGGATTATTGTGTTCTGTTTCTTTTTAAGTGGAATCTCAGCCTGCTTTTCCTTAAGAAGTTTTCTCAAGTGCAGTTTTTGTTACATTGCCAAGTTGTAGTATGTACTAAATATTTTTATATTTTTAATCTTTTTAGTTTAATATACATTATAATTTTCTCATCAATGAGTTATTTATAAATACTTCTAAGTTTTCAGTGTATGAAGTTTTATCCTTTAAATTGTTGATTTGTAATTTAATTATTGTGTTACTAATGAACTTTATATGCTATGTGTTTTTTGAACTTTAGTGAGATTTGCTTGACGGCCTAGACTGTTCTTAAAAAGAGTATGTGTCCCAAGAAGAATTCACAAATGTTTAGAATGGCATTTCTTCCTAGTGTATTGGATTTTATGTTTCTATAGTGACATTCCATTTCCTGACCTTAATCTTTTACTAAAGCCTAGATTTTGTTTCTTAATCCAATCTAACCAACTATCTTTAACTGGTGAGCTTAATCCTTTTATATTTGTATTTATTGCTAATGTATATGGACATATTTCTGCCATTTATTTTTTTCTTTTCAGGTTGTTGTGCTTTTTCTTCTCCTTGTCTCCTTTTTCCCTTTTAAAAAATGGTTAGTTGTGATAAAACACATATAATATAAGATTCACAATCTTGCCCATTATAAAGCATATAGTTGAGTACTGTTAAATATAACATACTGGGTCAGGCTGAGGCTGGGAGCTGGGAACTCAGTTCAGGTCTCCAGTATGGTTGGTAGGAACTCAGTTACTTGGGCTAATACTACTGCCTCCCAGGATCCACATTAGTAGGAAGTTGGAGTTATGAGTTGGGAATGGGACCTCAATACTCCAAAAGGGTCTAAAAATCTAAAATGCCTTAACTGATGTCTTAGGTGCTAGTTCAAATGACTACCCTCTTTTTTACTTTTGTTCCTGTTTTAAATTCTCCTCTTTGTAGTCTTTTGATAGTTATTTCTGAGTTTTACCATGCATATTATCGATCTTTAAATTTAATATCTTGAAACTATTACCCCAATTTTAAATTTCATTACCTCTTTCCAACTTAAATGTTTTTACTGGTCAATATGTCATACATAGCAATTTTATGTTGATATACGATTCTGATATCCAAATACTTTTGATGTTTATTTGTATTGTTTATTTTTTCAGTTTGATCATAATGATTTTTCCTTGGATATTTGGGAATCTGTGATTGTGAGTTCATAGTTGTTCTTAATGTGAGGAAAATGTGTTTGATTCAGTTCTTTTTCTCAAAGATTTGCATTTCCTTTTGATGGATGACAGGTAGTTATACTGACTTGGGTCCACTCTAGCTGCTCCCTCTAAGTTTCTTACCTTAATCAGTCTCAGTTTAGTTTTTTTTATTCTTCTTCTGACCTAATGATTAGTCTCCACATTAAGAACAACCCTTATTTTAAAAAAAATTCTGATGTATTTATTAAATTTCACAAAAATTTTTATTTTAACCATTGTTCTTTATATACCTATATTCTACACTTGTTTGGTGGAAACTAAGGTATTAGAAGGTTGAAATCAGCTGCTCTCTTGCATTTTCTGTGTTAGCATAAGTAATTTAGACTATAAAGAGGGGACATGTCTTTAATATCTATTGAGTAGTTTATTTCCTTTAATTTTGTCCTGAGGTGAAATAATTTTGCCTCTTCTTTACTTAATAATAGCTATTTTGATGGCCAAATTTGGTTTCTAGGTTGCAGAATTGGTAACTTATATTCTTTTTATAAAACTGTAGGAACTAGTCCAGGCTAGTGAGCGATTAAAAAACCAGTCCAAAGAGCTGAAAGATGCACACTGTCAGAGGAAACTGGCCATGCAGGAATTCATGGAGATCAATGAGCGACTAACAGAATTGCACACCCAAAAACAGAAACTTGCTCGCCATGTCCGAGATAAGGAAGAAGAGGTGGACCTGGTGGTGCAAAAAGTTGAAAGCTTAAGGCAAGAGCTGCGCAGAACAGAAAGAGCCAAAAAAGAGGTTAGTAGTCAGGCAAATTTTGTAGTGCCCGTGGGGTAGTGATTAAAGCTGCTTTTTTGAGACTAGAGAATTAATATTTCATTCTTTAATTTCCCAAAATAAACTAATTCTATAGTTTGGTAATATTTCTTAATATGAATTTCAACATTTGAGTTATCTTCCTATTACAAGGTAAATTCCCATGGGGGGAAATGTTTGTTTGAAAAAAATTACAACTGTGAAATCTTTTTTTTTTTTCTTTTCATTTTTTTAAAAGCTGGAAGTTCACACAGAAGCTCTGGCTGCTGAAGCATCTAAAGACAGGAAACTTCGTGAACAGAGTGAACACTATTCTAAGCAACTGGAAAATGAATTGGAGGGACTGAAGGTATCTTTTGATTTCATATTTATAAAGCTTAATTTTCTTCTTCTTTTTGGCTTGATAGAAGTATTATGTACCTTGTTGGGTACAAACCAACTTGTGGAGTACAAACCAGCTGTTTTTGAAATTTAGTGTTCTTAATTCTTATTCTTACCAGTAGAAAGCTGATAGAGATTTCCTAACCATGGAGAAGAAAAGGGAAGACCATGTTTATTGAGAAATAGTACTCCACCAGGAAGGACTGCCTACCTGAATAAGATGTACTGGCAGTCTGCATAAGAGTCATGGTTTGATATCCAGACCTTCTGTTTTGTAAATGCCACAGGAGAGGCTTAGGGGGTAGCTTTGCAGATGCTTGTGTTCAGTGGGATAAGATGATAGAGGACAAGGTCTAACATTGCTTTACTAGAGAAATTATTTTGCCATCTCTGGAGTCTGGTTTTAATTTCTAGATTTACTGTTTACTTTCTAGATTTACTATTTAGTTGTGAGACACTGCACAAAACATTTAATCTATTTGTACCTTATTTTGAGTCCATAAATAACATTTGTAAGCTGTCACATGCTCAGTAACTAGTGTTGTATTAATAATAATAAATGTCAAAGAAAATATAAGAACCAACTTGAATGCCATAAAGTGTAGGTACTTACCTTGTAGGATAGCTCTTACTATAATAATTTATTCACAGTCTGTCTCCTCATGTGGACTGTCAACTATTTTATTGAAAATATAGACAAGTGTATTATTATCTTGGCCATAGAAAAGATTAAGATATTTAATACTTCCCTAATAAATTAGTTAAATCAGGCTTGATCTGCTAGGCTTGATTACAGTTTCTCTGATAATTAGCTTATTAGTTGAAAGTAAGATTCTTCTGTAATAAATCGAAATATAAATTCTAGATTTATTTCTTGTTTTGAGAGTTTGTTTTGGTTCATAATGAATGAATGCAGTGTCTTGGTTAACTCTACAGAGCAGGTATGTGTTATCTGAATATACCTGTGCCTCCAGAGCAGAATTAGGATAGAGAACTCAAAACCATTTCATATACCCTTTTTTTTTTTTTTTAATTTATTTGACAGGTAGAGTTAAACAGTGTGAGAGAGAGACAGAGAGAAAGGTCTTCCTTCCATTGGTTCACCCCCCAAATGGCTGCTATGGCTGGCGCTGCGCCGATCTGTAGCCAGGAGCCAGGTGCTTCCTCCTGGTCTCCCACGCGGGTGCAGGCGCCCAAGCACTTGGGCCATCCTCCACTGCCCTCCCGGGCCACAGCAGAGAGCTGAACTGGAAGAGGAGCAGCCAGAACTAGAACACAGCGCCAGTATGGGATGCCGGCGCCATAGGTGGAGGATTAGCCAAAAGAGCCACAGTGCCGGCCCCCTCGTATACTTTTCGATCAGGATCCGCTTTATTTCTACTACTATTCTAGGTGCTTTAGATAATTAAAATGGATCAGAAAAGACAATTCGAAAGAAATCTTAGACATTATCCCCATTTGAGAAAATTTAGAACCAGAAGAGATTTTTGTTGTCATAAAAATAGAGTATAATTTAAACCAGGGTTTTCTAGCTTTCAGTGCCATGTTCTGTCCATTAGTTTACTTTTGATTTTATACTCTAATAAACTGTGCAGCAATGAAAACTCTGAATCACAAATATTACCTATTTGTTAAATACTCATAATATCTATGTCATTTATAAATTTGAGATTATAATAGAACTACTCAGTAAATAAGTTAATACATTTAAAGTATGTAGCCCAGGACCTGGCGCATAATAAAGACTAAGTGTTTGTTCTGTTTGTTACTGTAGAATAATTTCCTTAGTGTATTTTCCAAAACTGAAATTTCTTTGTTAAAATATATGCACATTTATGTTTCAAAATATGTTTTGGTTCTTTTAAAGATTGTAGGAATTTTGACTCTTTAAGCAATACTTTTCAACAGACTTAAAGGGTGAAATAGACAGTTCTATAGTAAAAATTAGGTAATTCAGTATACCACTTCCAATAATGCATAGAACGTACTAACAAGATCACCGAGGATACTGAGGTCTTGACAACACTGTATATAACTATACCTACCATATATGTAGAAATTTGCATTTAGCAACTGTAGAACATACATTCTTGGCAAATAAAAATATGGCATATTTTCCCGGATAGACTGAATCACAAATAGGTCACAAAACAAATCTCAGTAAATGTAAAAAGATTTAAATCTTTTAAAACATCTTCACCAATAACAGTGTAACAGAGTAAGAAATCAGTAAACAGAAGCAAATCTGAATGTTCAAAACCATATGGAAATTAAATAGCACTCTTTATTTATTTATTTATTTATTTATTGACAGGCAGAGTTAGACAGACATAGAGAAAGGTCTTCCTTTCCCGTTGGTTCACCCCCAAAGTGGCCGCTGCGGCCAGCACGCTGCACCAATCCAAAGCCAGGAGCCAGGTTCTTCCTCCTGGTCTCCCATGTGGGTGCAGGGCCCAAGCACTTGGGCCACCCTCCACTGCCTTCCCGGGCCACAGCTGAGAGCTGGACTGGAAGAGGAGCAACTGGGACAGAATCCAGCACCCCAACTGGGACTAGAACCCAAGGTGCTGGTGCCGCAAGTGGAGGATTAGCCAAGTGAGCCACGGCGCTGGCCTAAATAGCACACTCTTAAAACAACTAATGGGTCAAAGAAGAATCATAAGGGAAGTTATAGAATACTTAGCAATCAATGAAAATGAAAACACAGTATATCCAAACTTAAAGTACACTGTGAAGTCAGTGCTCAGAAGAAAATTTATAACTGTGAATGCCTACATTTAAAAGGAACACATGTGACCAATCAGTAGGCTAATTTAAGAAATTAGAAGGACCTGCGTTGAGGCGCAATGGGTTAAGCTGCTATCTGCATCCTATATGAATGTCAGTTCTAGTCCTGATTGTTCCACTTCCAATCTAGCTCCCTGCTAATGTGCTTGGGAATGTAATAGAAGATGGCCCAAGTATATGGGCCCCTGCACCCCATGTGGGAAACCCTGATGGAATTCTAAGCTCCAAGAATTCCAGCCGTAGTCATTGCAGCCATTTGGAAATTGAACCAGTGGACGAAAAGATTTGTCTCTCCCTCTTTCATTATGTCTCCCTTTCTCTAACTCTGCCTTCCAAATAACACAGAAAAAAAATTTTTTAAACAATTAGAAAAAGAAGAGCAAACTGAAGTGAAGGAAACAAAAATAGAGCAGTCAGTAAAATAAAGAACAGAAAACATTTGGAAGGATTGATGAAACCAAGCGGTTCTTTGATTAAATCAGAAGAATTAACCTTTAGCTAGACTAACGAGATTACACAGTGCACACCACAAGAGAAAGAAACAGAGAGCGAATGCATATAACTAATTTCAGAAACAAAAGTAGATACTGACCAACAAAAAACAAGAGAAAAATAAGAAAATACTGTGGACAGCTCTGTGCCAACAAAATATATGAATGGAAAAATCCCTAGAAGTACACCATTAACCTAAAATGACTTGAAATGAAATATAAAAATGTTAACAGTGAAAATAAGTAGAAATTGAATCAGTAATCAAGACTTTTCTGACAAAAGTCTAAGGGGTGAATATTTCACCTAGTGGCTAAGACACTTCTGTGCTTGGGACCCATATCAGAGTACCAGAGTTCAAGTCCCTGCTTCTCTCCTGATTCTAGCTTCCTGCTAATATTCGCTTTGGGAGGCAGCAGATCTGATGGCTCAAGTGGTTGAGTCATTGCTACACACATCGTAATCCTGGATTGAGTTTCTAGCTTTGGGCTGCAGCCTAGGCCAGTCCTGGCTTTGGTAGACGTTTGTAGATTGAACTGGTGGATGGGAGCTCTTTCTGTCTGTTACGTCTTTCTTTCTACAAGAATGAAAGAAGTCTAGGACCAAATGGCTTCATTGGTGAATTGAACCAAACATTTAACAAATAATATCAGTCTTTTTCAAGCTCTCCAAAAACAGAAGGTTGAGGGAATGTCTTGATTCATTCTATGAGGCCAGCTTTACTCTAAATACCATGGCAGGATAAAAATATCACTATAAAACCCAATATTTCATTTGAAAACATGCACAAATCCTTAACAAAATAGTACCAAATCAAATCCAAGAACACATTATAAAGATTATACACCATAACAAGTGGGGTGTATCAGGGAATGCAAGGGTTGATCAGCATAATAAAATCAGTGTAATATACCACGTTAATAGACTCAAAGTAAGAGAATCATGGTCATCTGCACTGATGAATGAACATCACTTCACAACATCCAACAATTTGTTCATGAGGAAGCTAGAATAGAAAGGAAATATAATCAACAGAATGAAAGTTGTTTATGAAAAACTTTTAGCTTATACCATACTCAGTAGTGAGAGACTGATAGGTTTACCTTTAAGATCAGGAATGAGGCAGGACTATCCATTTTCACCATTTCTATTCAACATTACTGGAGATTCTACGCAGAACAATTCCTTAAGAAAAAGAAAAGACATCTAAAACAGAATGGAAAAACTCAACATCTTTGCTATACAGGTATATCTCATTTTATAGCTTTTATACAAATACACACAGATGTGCACACACACACACACACACACTTAGATAATCAGAGTTACAGAGAGAGAGAGAGAGAGAGAGAGAGAGAGAGATCTTTTAGACCACTGCAATGGCCAGTGCTTTGGCCAGGCCAAACCCAGGAGCCAAGAGCTTCATCTGAGTCTCCCACATGGGTGGCAGGGGCCCAAGCACTTGGGCCATATTCTGCTGCTTTTCCTAGTCCATTAGCAAGAAGCTAGATCAGAAATGGAGCAACAAGGATGCAAACCAGTGCCCATATGGGATGCTGGTGTTGCAGGCTATGGCTTTACCCACTATACCACAATGCCCACAGTGCCAGCACTCTGATCCACATGTATTGCATTTTTCTTTCCAAATTGGAAGTTTGTGACAACCTTGCCTGAAGCAAGTCTGTCCGTGCC